GAATTTCTAGGCCAATGGGTGCGTCCATCATCTCTAGCACACATACACACCTTTAATAATGTTTGAAATTCTGCAAGTTTTTTTTTGAATTTTTAGGCATGCTTCAGGCCAGCAAATTCGATTCCCTTAGGCCCCGGGCAGACTTCACGCGATTTGATCGTCGCGACTGAGTCGCGACGAGACAACTGTTACAACATCATTCCATGCCGATCAACTTGCATTCGGTTGTGATACTTTTCCAGCCCGACATTTTTGAATGTGAAATGAAAATGAATGGAAATCTTGGCGATTAGATCGCGACGATTAAGTCGCGTGAAGTCTGACCGGGGCCTTAGGCGACACAAATTTTTGCACGGAGAAAAAATGACATTCTTGAACTACAAAAGATGTTTTCGACTAAGAAGCTTACTTTCTACTTCTTCCACAGTTTTTCCCGCACAAAATACCGCTTGAGCGCCGTCCACAACGACGTCAAAAACGTGCATGAGCACGGTAGTTTGAAAATTCGTAACTAAGGCCAGGAAAAGACTGAGAGGCTGCAAAGCACAGGTCCTGTAGTATAGTGCCCAGACTATCCGAAGAAAAAGTTTCAGCTCTTGAGGAGCAGTAAGCTCAAAAAAATTTAGATGCGACCCTCGCAATTTTAGATGCGATCCTAAAAAGCAAAAACCGGGATTTTTGAGCTTAAAATTTTGCAACTTACCAGAGAAGGTATAAAAGAGCCTGCAATTTTTATGAGGGAAAGAAGGAGGATGGGCTCATATTACAGCAAAATTGCAGCCAACAAGCTTCAATAGCTCCGAAGAAATTTAGATGCGACCCAGATACGACCCCCCTTTCCTGACTTTTTGCTACCATACATAAAATCATAAGAAAATCCACAGTTGACAAAATAACACCAAATTTTGCACTGATATAGAGGAGCATCTCAAAAGTACAGATAAATCATATGAGCCCGTGAAAAACATTACAAAAAGATTTAGAATTTTATGATGGTCACAGCTGGTAAAGACATTCGCTTTTGTCGAGTGTGTGAGACTTCAGGAAGGCTTCAGAAGCAAGATTTCTGGGGCAATCGGTACATTTAGCATTTTTATCAAATAATACATCCTTCAAAAGTGTTTTGAGCTCTTGTAAATGTTTTTGAGAATTTCTACAGACTTTTTATCTCTTTTATTCTGATTTCCACTTTTTTTATAGATTTATTGTAAAGAACATAACTAATTGCCTGCTTTTTGATTCCCTTTGAAGCCTAGGGTATTTTAGCCTAACTACCTCCTCTTACGACCCCCCCCCCACCTTAGATACCCTCTTACGACCCCCCGTTGCGACAGTCGCATCACAAGCTTGACCCTGAACGAGAGGCAGTCGGTACTCTCGGCAGACTTCTATGACCCTCGAAACGGTCTGGATGTGGTCCATGCAGCTGAATCCTTTGCGAAATCCAGCTTGTTCTTGGGGTTGGGCTTCATCCAGTGTCCTTGATATGCGAGCGAGGATAATCTTCGTGAAAAGCTTCTACAGTACACTCAGCAGGCGTATTGGACGATAGTTCCGAAGATCCTCCCGTTCACCCTTCTTGAAGAGAAGGACGGTTCTTGACGTTCTCCACTGGTCGGGAATCTTCTCCTTCTGAAGGTAAGATGTCAAATTCGATGCTAGAATCTCGTGTAGACGGTGTCCTCCGGCTCGCAGAAGTTCCACGGGGAGATGATCTGGTCCTGGAGCCGTGGACGTCTTCATGGTCTGTATCGCGATACGCACTTCAGCATGTGGAATTCGTGGTGGTACTTCTCCAGTGAGAACAACGGGCATCTGCACGGGTGTTGTTAAGCGGAAGAGGTGGTGTAAAAGTTCTTCGCGATAGATTCCATCTTGTATCGGGAAGAAGTCGGAGTCCCGTCTTCGTTCAGTAGTGCAGCCAGCGGTACGTGATATTCGCAGAGGTCCCTTCGGCACTTCTTGAGACTTCGTCTTCTTTCGGCTGCTTCCAGTATCTTGGCTTGCCTGTACTTCCTGAGATCCTCTTGCAAAGCTGCTCTGCAACTGGCGTTGGCTAACAGTCGCTTGAGATGGGTTGCATTCGGATCCTGCCTCAGAAATCTTCTTCTTTCGAGCATTTCCTTGGTGGTCTTCGAAATGCGTTCCAAGTTCTTCTCAGAAGTCACTGAGGCGCATTCTCCGCAGGCTCGCAATCCTTTCAGAAGCCGGTCGTAGTCGTACGTTGGGTCCTCCTCGATGGGCCAGTCACAACTTGATATGAGCTCTTCAAGCCTATTACCGTCATAAACGACTTCCTTCCTTCTCGCGGCATTATGACAGACTTTTTTTTTCCAGCCTTCGGCTGAGTCGTATCTTCGCTCGAAGGAGGCGGTGATCGGAGCCACTACAGAAGGATGGAACTACAGAGACATCGAGTAAGCTCCACCTTTGGTTGGTGAGAATGTGGTCGATCTCAGCATGAGTCGTTCCGTTGGGTGATTCCCAAGTCCACCGGCGATGTTCTTTCTTCATGAAAATGGAGTTTCCATGGAAGAGTCGTGCGGCGGAGAGAAGCCCAACGAGACGGTTGCCGTTTTCGTTTCGGAGCCCATATCCAAATTTCCCGATCCTATATTCCTTTTCTAGTGGCATCCCGATTTTCGCACTGAAGTCGCCCACAACATACTTGTAGAAGGACTTTTCGTTGCGGATGACCTCCTCCTCCTCCACGTCTTCGTAGAAAGCATCTAGTTCTGAATCGTTAGCTGCTGATGTTGGCGAGTAGCAGTTGATGATGCTGATGGTCTTCTGACGTGGAGGGCGTAGTCGTAGGATGCCTAGTCGAGGTGATAGGATCTCGTGCGAATCGACAAGATGGACGATAGATGGGTGGACGACAAAGCCGACGCCTCCCACGTTTCGTGATGGAACCTTTTCACCACGAATGATGAGGGTCCCATCACTCATCTGTCGCACGTCCTTCTTTCTGGACTTCGTTTCCTGCAGAGCGAGATGTGGTAGTTGATGTGCTCTGCAGCGTCGAGAAGAGCGTGGAGGTCGGCGTTTGTTGAGACTGTCCTGGCGTTGTAGGTGCAGGGCATGAGGCAGTCTCCATGGCGTGTCGTCCGGGCAGACGTGTCGTTTTTGTCCAATCCGAAAGGCGCCCTGAGTACCCTGACATCGTTCTTGCTACCACCCGGCGCCGTAGGCGGGATACAATGTGCAGGGTTTCTTTCTAATTTTCTAACTGGAAGAGTAATATGAATTATCCCCTAAGAGGTAGCTCACTAGGCCTACTCTTGACCACGGGGCGATCGCTGACCCCGAGCTTGGAGCGGGGAGGGACCGCCTAGCGACCAGAAGAAGCTAGACGGCGGGGGATCTGGCGTGGCCGGTTCTTAGCTAGGCATCCGGCCGAAACCGGAAACGTCAAACTCCTTCACAGCTTGGGAGGTCCTACCAGAGTATACACTTGGCTGTGCATCGTAGTTCGACACCCATTGTCACCCCCACGCCACGATGAGGCGACCGACCATTGTGGGGGAGGAAAACAACAGCCTCAACTAAATCGCAAGAGTAAGCCGGTGCTCACCTTAGCAAATGATAAATTGGTGGGTGCAGACCTATAACCTGTGACCTGTAGACCTGCAACCCGCCAACTTATTATCTGTTAAGGTGAGCATTGGCTAAATCTTGCAATTTGGTTGAGGCCGTTGTTTTTTTAGGGAGTTGTGCTCTTTTCTGTAGTCGACGGGATGTTTGATTGAGTTGGTTCGGATAGTCTCTTATGTGTTTTCGTCTTTTCAGACTTTGAAGAATGCAGGTTCGATGAAACGTTAGTTCGTATTTGCTGTAGAGATCGGTACCAATCTTGGACTATGCTCAAACAACTAACGAAGATTCAAAAAGCGTTAACAAGTTCTTCTCTACAGACACTTAAGGAGAGAAGCCTAGTGTTATGTGCCTAGTGTTTCAGGGCCGCATGCTAAACATCCCCGATGGGGAGGGGATCGGAACTTAAAAGTTGCTTATATCTTGAAGCTCCAAATATCTAAATTTCACGTTGTTTACCTATCCGTAAGTCTTCCTACTATCCTTCACTATGAACATATTGAACAGGGGCAAGGAGCCATACAAGCCTCATTTTCTAGCTTTTTGTATGATACCCTAATGAACCCCGGTGGCCGACCGTCTTTTCTTCATTTTTCAGTCATTTTTTCTTCTTTGAAGTGAACGAAAACCTCTCAGAGTTGTGCTGCTCGTCTAACCCAACAATGCTAAGCATGCTGCGGATAAGAACAAATGAGTTTTGGAATTCGAATTTTTTGATAAACCCCAACTTTCGACTTGTGGTTTATCGCATCGCAAATTTCGTGATTCCAACACATCATTTGTTCTTATCAGAAACATGCTCAGCGCTGTTTGCTCAGATTATTGAGAGTTTGGCACATTTTCATTGATTCTGAAGAAGGAAGAATGACGTTGAAGAAAAGACGGTTGGGCGTTGGGGTCATCACGGAATCATACAAAAATCTGGAAAATGCGGCTTGTACACCTTCTTGCCCTTGTTCAATATGTTCATAGTGAAGGACAGAGGAGTACTTACGGATAGGCAGGCAACTTGAAATTCAGATATCTGGAGCTTTAGGATATAAAGCTTTTTTAAGCTCCGATCCCCTCCCCAGGGGAATGTTAATGATGCGGCCCTCAATAACGGTACGTATCATGATAATCAGCAGTTAAACTTTTGACACTCCCTGTTAGGATCATTATGTTGTAGATTGCAAAAGTAGTTTTGAGACTAACAATAAGATGTTTGATAACTTACGTTCGAATTTGCTCTTGACTCAAAGGATTCTCAGCAAACATGGGCCTCTACCCGAACTTGGCCAATCCATACCTATTGTTTTCTGAATATGCTACAAGCTAAGCTGTAAAATATTCAAGAGAATCACATTAGAAGAAAGGACAGCAACCAGAAACAGTTTCATGTCATTGTGATATTGGAAGCAATTCAGGAGCATTCGCCCGGTCTCAGCCAAAAAATCAAAGTTCCTAAGAAGAGATACTCCTATGCTGACCCACTGGAACGAATGGACACTCCAAAATTCGACAAGGTAATATGTTACTTACAAGCGGCTGCTACAAATTTCATCTAGGCAAATCAAATTGAGTAATCCATTTCCTGTCGCATCCTGACATATCAAACACTCCAGCTTCCTAGTAGCTTCCTTTAGGAAAGCCGCCTATAATGCAACTCTGCGTAAAAGAATTATCCTATTCTCTTTTGTATCACTGAAATGAATAGTCTCTGCATTTTTGCTCCCAGAATCCAAATAAAAGATACCACATCTTGCACATCAATAGATGTGGAATGCATTATGCAGTGCTACTGTGTCACAATGCTCTAATGGGTTCTCCGATGTCAATGGATAATCCAACACCCATAATCTCCATAGAGTAACTTCTGTGGTGCTATGCCATCCCCTGCTCCTATTGCTAACATCTATGCTTGATGCTTGGAGGAGATTTTGCACATGCCGGATGGAGTGAATTTATTTATTTCAACTTTCTTCTACACCACGCAATGTGTAAACTAAAAATGTGTTGAAGTTTCAACCCGAAGATGGATCGTTTTGTATATTTCGATGAAGCATCTTTTCAGACAGAAACTAGCCAGGCAAAAAAGGGCCCGTCATCAGCTGCTACCGTCTTGACAATGGCTGGACTTTTCGTCGTTGCTATCTTGCTCATGATGAGCGGAATCATTGTCCTCATAGCAGTGAGATCATTTCTATCAGATTCTTTATACTTAGAATACTACATTTTCATCATGAATCTCTGCAGAAATTTGAGTTCACACATAAAATCAAGCGATTGCACTTTCGTACCAGTGTGCTTCAACCAAACATTAGCTTTAATATAATGCAAATCAATTTTTTTCAAATCTAGTACAGAAATGATTGTGAGATGCGCCGTACAAATGAGATATACATGCTATGCTGGATTATTTAATCATCAGTGCGTCACCTCTGCTTCGCAGAGGCTCGCACTTGTTCTGTTATCTGTGTGCCTTACTCATTCCCGCATAATGATGGCATTACTCACCGCGCAGTGGTGACTATCCTGATAAACCGTAAACAACTACTCATTCCGAATGCTTTTTCATGTAAGATCGGTAATTTCGCGTGGATGAAACTTAACGCAAAAGAGCAAATGCAAATTCAAATTAGTTCTTGGACATATTATAGCATGATAGTGGTCACAAGAACGACAAACACCGTGAGCTACATTTCTGTACAAAAACTTAGCAAATGCCAGCATCACCTTGGCAAACTGATCATCTACGCAACCAATTCTTTTGGCGCCGCTTTCGTATGTAGCTTTGATCATTTTTTCAAGCTGAAGTTTATGGTTTGCGTATCCACATGTCAAACATATTCATGGCTTTGCAAAAAATGATACTATGGATCTAATTTTGCTGGCCAGAAGCCAGGATCCGTATAACTTACAGTTTTGATAAAATCACTCAACGGATGCGCCGTACTTTCGCATGATGGACTTCTGTGCTGGCAGCATGCGCTTTGCAAAATTTGAGCTTAGGACGTCGGTTGGAACATAATTTACGAATTTCGTTATATACACACACACCACACACACACTACACACACACACTACACACACTACACACACACCACACAGACACACACCACACACACACACCACACACACACCACACACACACCACACACACACACACCACACACACACCACACACACACACCACACACACACCACACACACACACCACACACACGCACACCACACACACACCACACACACACACCACATACACCACACACACACCACACACACACATTACACAGACACACCACACACACACACCACACACACACACCACACACACACACCACATACGCACAAAAAGAAAAAGGTGTCCCAAAAAGATGTGCACGCTGTTTGACTGCTAATAATTCTCTTGCTTTCATGTCTTGTCAAGCTTGAGGTACCAATTTAAACCAAGGTTCATCTTAGATTTACAATATGAAATGACTTATCAGCCGCTCTTCATTACTGTAGGATTACGGTAGGAAGTTTGAGGACGATTTCAAGCCGTTGAAAGCGATATTTTGCCTCAGAAAGAAAACCAAACAAGCTAGAAACTTTAGAACTGGGATAATCGAAGTTGCTGATTCTAAATATGAAAAATGCATCTCAGTACACTGTTTCTTCCATGAGTTATTTCAGAGGGCAACAGCTGATTTTCCAATGTTTGTCAGAAATGTGAATACGCCATCAAGAAAGCTCGAAAAACTGGTGGAACTTGTGTAGTGAAATCAGCACGCCTGAAAACCTTGCTACACAAATTTTTGTATTTTTTCGGAATTATGTCATCAAAAGCTTATTTCACAGTGACGTTGTATGCTAAAAGTTCATACCGTAATCCTACAGTAACGAAATAGTGTAAATCTAAGTTTATCCTCGCTCTACAGAATGGTACCTCGATCTCGGCAAAAGACATGAAAGCAAAAGAGTTATTAACGATTAAACAGTGTGTACATCTTTTTGGGACACTCTGTATAACCGCATATTAGCTCTCCAGCATTATCTACGCCTGGAAACATTATACAGAATAGTATCGTTAAAGGCAGCGTCCCGGCAAAAAGATGAGTGCCGCGTTTTTGTGGCGTTGTCAAAGTAGACCCCCAAGAGATGACTGAAGTTCGGAGCGAAAAAGGGGGTCTACTAAGCCTGAAATTTGCTCCGAAAGTGGCCGAATCTTACGGTAGGCCCGGACGCCGCCCACACCGCAATATCGATTTGCAAGGACAGAATGCGTATAGCGCACACAGTCATGAGCGCAGGGTCCCGCAACGACTCTGCGTCTCTACCTTGCATGCATCTCGCACTCGCCCGAGCCTACCGTACGATTCGGGCCACTTGGGGGGGGGGGGGGGGGGGCGCAACTTGTAGACTTCGTAGACCCCCTTTCGCGCTAACTTCTGTCGTCATCACTTAGTTAGGGGGTCTACTATTACATTATTACCAGAGCCAGGTACCCCCAGTCTGGTGGGACGCTGCCTTTAAGGAGCTGGGCCTGGGGAGTGTCATGGGGGCCTATCAAACGTAACTAGGAAAGGATGGTTAGTCGAAGTGGCCTTTTGCAATGATTTGTATACTGTGTTGGAAGGCGTAAAATGCTGATTCCAAATTTGTCGTTCGTGGACGAGAAGCATGAGCGTTTAGAGGAGCAAAAAATGGATGTTCTTCTGGTGTAAGAATGCAAAAGTTTTGCCAGCGCTTGAATGAGACCGCCGGAGCGCGGATATATCTCATCTAAGAGTATTTAATTCATAGAGTGCTGGAAAGATTACCACTGTTCCATTCAAGGGTTAGGAAAAATGTTACCACTGTTTTTATATTATTTGCACATTCAATTTTTTTCTCCAATAAACGCTCGTATTTTCTCGTGCAGGAACGCGCCCCAGATAATGAAGACAGATTTGGAATTAGCGTTTTATGCCCTCCAACAGCGTATACATACCATCTCAAAAGGCCACTTCGACCAACTATCCTTCCCTTGTTAGGAAAATTCCCTAAATATTTACTTTGGAAAATGTTTAACATCTAGGATGAATACCTCATTGTTACAATCCATGACGACAAAATGGCTTACTAGAGATGTCAAGAGGCTTGTCACGAAGCTGAACGTTCACATTTGTGGCGTTTGTGAAGAAATCTCAAAGCTATAATTTCCTATATAAACGTTCGAACTCTGTTTCAATGAAGATAGTTATGAAACTTGTTTCAGTGATAGTTTGCGACTTATCAGATTTTTGGCAAGCTTGCCTGGAGTCAGTGAAGCTCAAGTGTGTGTTTTTCACTTTTGACATTCACCTCTGCAACCTGCATGCATCAATGAGCATATAAAATATCTATCCAAAAAACTAGAGTCAAGCAAACTTTGCAAGTAGGAAGACATTACAATTTTTCGAAAACGATGCAAACGAACTTTCGTAACATTGCTATGTTTACCAACTTTTAAATATTCGATATTCATCCAATATTCGAATATTCGATTAATCGAATGATTGAAGCAATGGCCATCGAATATTTAACTACCAAATATATTCGAAAATCGAAGATTTTTAATTGACTTTAAAATTTTTTTGTTCAAAATCTCAGATTTTCGAATATCCTATTTTTCGAATCATTCGCATTCAAAGTTTATCCAGATGATCAGATAATCATTCGATTTGGCATATACCTGAATATTAAAGTTGTCGGACGGATTTATTTTTACTCAATTTCAATTCTAAAACATCATTGTACATAGAAACCAGTCTAAATCTGGGTATGAATACTTCCTCGCGAACTAGATATCGATAAACGGAAGAGTTTTGAGGAGTATGAGGGAAGGTTTTTTTTAATGGTTGACTATCATAAACTTCAGAAAAAAGCACATTTCCATAATTTTCCACCGCCAATCTAGAGTTCTGCAAGATAGATCTTAGGAATTGAATTACTTGGATGATGCATAGTCACTCATCCAATTCCGTCAAATATCCCTTTCCAGGGTCTTTGTTTCACTTCAATTGGGAGAAACGGCAAAAGGATGGTGGCGGGACGCGCAAGAGATAACATAATCGTGCAGATGTGTACGAAATCTTCGACCGGTATATTCGCAGTGGTATGCGCACCTGCACTTTCGGTTGATACAGATGCGCATGAAATTGAGCAAACACTCAATTTTGGCCACAATCGGAACATGCCTGAAAACTTCATGCCTTTAATTTGTGTTTCTTTCATTTGTGTCATAGATAGCCTCGGCACAACTGGCAAAGGTTCAAGGTGGGGATCGTTTTTGGGACAAAAAGCAAAGGGATATCGTTTACCTGTGGCAAGAATTGCGACGTTTTTTGGTCGATGTTTCGTTTTTTAATACTAGTTTAGGGTTTTAATACTAGGGTTTGGGGTAAAAGGGGACTTCGTTTTGGAATTTCGCATGCCAGCTCTTGCCGAGCCTTGGTCACAGAGCATTTGAAATGGAACTGGAAAGTCATCAATACAGGATCGAGATTGTTTCGTGCATATATCCAGATCATGCTTTTTCGCCGTACTCATTGCCTACTCATGTATCTCATTTCTATCTCAATGTTGAGAAACGAAGATCCGGGAAAAACATCATAATTGGCGAGTGGCCTACCTTAAAAGACATCTCACAAAACAATAAAACAAGAATTATCTGTGAGCATTGGATAACGTGTAACCGCTTTTTTCAAGACTATTTTGTGGAGACTTTCCACAAAGACTTTTCAAGACTTCGCATTGAGAAATTGATTGTAGAAACTCTGAGAAGCAAGCAAGGAAAAGAAAAACATTACTCTGTGTTCTATAGTGTTTGCTCTATCTACTGCCACTTGTACTTTTTCGGAGATTAGGTACAAAAACTTAGAAAAACAGCCGAACTTGACCATGGCAAAAAGCATGAGTCGCAGATTTTGGTAGATTTTCGAGAGCTCATTGGACATTATGCAGTGAGATTAGAACCATCAGAAAGAGAATAAAATGCTGCATCGAATGCTCCTAAGATTTCTTGAAAATGTTGATTCCACGAATAGTGGCGTTCATTCGAAAAAAGCGACATTACTTTCTGAACGACCTAATATATATTAGGTTGTACCGAAAGTTCTGTCGTTTCATATTCAAAAATTTGTAACTTCGCGAGATTTCAACGGATTTGCTTGCTTGTATTTTCAT